GGGGGGGGAGGATTGGGTCCCTCACCATAACGGTGATGGAAGCCCCTAAATTGAAAGGTGGGTCTTTAATCATCACAGTTAAAAAACACACCATTTCAATTTAGGGGGCTAAACCCCCATCATGTGTACAAGTGGTCATAGAAAATTAGGGTTGAAAAGGACCTCAGGAAGTTATCTAATCCAACCCCCTGTTCAAAGCAGGACCGTCCCCAACTAGATTATCCCAGCCAAGCCTTTGTGTAGCTGGATCTTAAAAACCTCCAAGAATGGAGATTCCACAACCTCTTTGGGTAACCTGTTCCAGTATTTTGCTACCCTCCTTGTGAAAAGTTTTTTCCTAACTTTCCTTGCTGCAACTTGAAACCATTGCTCCTTTTTCTATTATCTGCCACCACTGAGAACAGTTTAGCTCCATCCTCTTTGGAACCTCAGGTAGTTGAAGGCAGTTATTAAACCCCCCATCAGTTTTTTCTTCCGTTTTAGTAAGGTGTTCAACTCTGTTGGGCACACTGCTCTCTGGTGCCTTTTTGCAAAGTTTGGCTGCCCAGACAACCTAATTAACCTCATTCGCTGCTTCCATGATAACATGCAAGCCCATGTATCAGTGGGTGCTGACTCATCTGATGCTTTTCCTGTAGCCCATGGGGTTAAACAGGGCTGTGTGCTTGCCCCTACATTATTGACTCTGTTCTTGGCTGGAGTGCTAGTAGTTACCGCATGTACTACCAGTACTGGTGTCACCCTAGCAACACAATTTGCAGGGACTTCTAAGCCTCCACCAATTCAAGGCCAAAAACAAATCCCAACAAAGTGAAGTAAAAGATCTACTGCATGCTGACCACTCAGTGTGTCACTCTTTCTGAGAATGACCTGCAACATTTACTGAATTCCTTTGCCCAAACCTATTATGTCCATCACCACCAGAAATAAAATTGAATGGCAGCCAATTAAACAACAGCAAGTCCTTTTGCTACCTAGCTAGCACAGTTCCTGATGAAACCAGCTTTGACAAAGAACTTTCAGCATGCTTAAAGTCAGCTGTCTCAGCTTCTTGTCACCTGCAAAAAACACTATGGACAAGATGGGAAGTCAAAGTGTCTACAAAATGCCAAGTTTACAGGTCTGTTGTGCTTCCCTGCCTTCTATACTTGTTAGAGACCTGTCCCCTTTATCATTGCCATATCAAACAATTAACTGCCTGCAAACAATGCCACCTACAAAGCATAATGGGAATTAAAATCTGTCTGGGAATTATGCAGTCTGACAAAATCATCAACAACAACAAACTATGACTGGCAGCCATGCCAAGCATGGAAGCCATGCTAGCACAGAGGCAAATGATCTGGGTCAGTCATGTCATATGTATGAACAACAATCAACTGCCAGTGAATTTGAAAAAGGGAATAGGAAGGCTGGCTGTCCCAAACTCCACTGCAAGGACTGCATTAAGCAGCGCATACAGTCTGCTAGGTTGGACTTACTCTCCTGGGAGAATATGGCCCACGATAGATGATCTTGGCACTCTGCTATGAAGGAAGCAGAATGAGCAACAGAACATCATCATGCCATCTTGGCCAACAGTAGGAGGGAACATAGTCACCAACTTGCCCTGGCACATCTGCTGAACAACCCTACATGTTGAAACTCATTTCCAGTATTAGTAGCAGTTATACTCAAATATGAGTGACAGTCATTATATTTCAAGTTATATAGTCCTCTCTTCTGTGGAGAGGCTTAGAGAACTGGGCTTATGTAGTCTGCAGAAGTCATGTTCCCCAGCCCCCTTACTATTTTTGTGGCCTTCTGCTGGACTCTCCAATTTGTCCATATCCTTTCTGTAGTGGGGAGCCTAAAACTGGACACAGTACACCAGATATGGCCTCACCAGTGCTGAATACAGGGAAATAATCACGTCCCTCAATCTACCACCAACTCTACTACTAACGCAGCCCAGTATGCTATTAGCCTTCTTTGCAACAAGGGCACAATGTTGGTTCACATTCAGCTTACTGTCCACTTTAACCCTCAGGTCCTTTTCAGCAGACCTGCTGCTTAGCCAGTCAGTCCCCAGCCTGTACTGGTGCATGGGACTGTTCTGTCCTAAGTGTAGGACTTTGCATATGTCTTTGCCAAACCTTGTGAAATTTCTTTTGGTCCAATCCTCCAATTTGTTGAGGACTCTCCAAATCCTAGCCATACCCTCTAGTGTATCTACTACTCTCCCCAGTTTGGTGTCACCTGCAAACTTGCTGAGGGTGCACTCCATCCTATATTCCAGGTCATTGGTGAAAATATTGAACAAAGCCAGCTCTGGGACAAACCCCTGGGGCACTCCACTTGATACCAACTGCCAATGAGACTTTGAGCCATTGACTACTATCCTCTAAGCCCAACATTCCAGCCAGTTTTCTACCCCCTTTATAGTCCATTCTTCCAACCGATACTTCCTTGGTTAGCTTGTGAGAATATTGTGTAAGACCATATCAAAAGCCTTGCTAAAGTCAAGGTATATCATATCCACTGGTCTTCCCGCATCCACAGAGACAGTCATCTCATCATAGAAGGCAATCAGATTGGTCAGGTGTGACTTGCCCTTGGTGAATCCCTGCTGACTTTTCCTAATCACCACCTTCTCCTCCAAGTGCTTCAAAATGGATTCCTTGAGGACCTGCTCCAGGATTTTTCTGACTGGTCTATGAGGCTATGAGGCTGACTTGTCTATTGTTCCCTGGATCCTCCTTCTTCCCTTTCTTAAAGATGGGCACTATATTTGCCCATTTCCTATTGTCCTGGAGCTCTCCTGATTGCCATGAGTT